TGCCGGGAAGTCGGGCCAACGGTCCTCGGGCGGCTCCTCTGGGTAGCAGCAGGGGCGGAGGGGTTCGGGTGCAGTCTCACCCTCAGGGTTGGTGGGGTGGGGTTCCCAGGGACTCTCCCAGTGACGGGAGCGGACGGGCTCCGGCGGCTCCTCCTCGTAACATGCCCGGGGTAGCTCACGCCAGCTAGGGTCCAGGCCTCGGTCTTCGGCAGTCTCCTGGCCGGGAGCTCCCGGCCGCACATCTGCTCCCTGTGGTGGCTGGCCGCTGAGTGAGCTCTGGCGGCCGGCCTTTATACTTCCTGTCCCGCCCCTTGACTTCCGGGGGGCGGGGACAGGCGGTGGTGGTCCCACCCACTCTGGTGCCTGCACGTGGGCTCCCTCTTCTGGGCAGGAGGGGAGCCACACCGACTCACTACAGTCACATATAATAATTAGCCAAACGGGGAGAAATAGAAACAATTTCAAGGAACAAAATGGACACCGTGTAGAATCAAGCATATGGGTTTATTATGCACTGCGCTGGCGGAGTGGCACTTTGCTTATTGGGCTCCAAGACACTGCCAAATAATTAACTACAATGAATTATATGGAATTTTTATGGGCGGAGGGAAATGACAGGGTAGGAGATCCCGAGCGCCTGGATAGGTCTAGCAGCGAGACAAGATAAGCACAGTAGCCAATAGTCTAAAAATTACCTAATGTCTCTGCCCATGGTTTCAAGTTAACATATGACATATTGTTAGTACACAGGTGTTTTCCTTTAAACAGTGTATAAAGTGTATTAGTATAAAATATGTATGTTGAATTCCAATTTGGGACCCAAAGGAATGAGGTAGCCCTTCTGATTGTCCAACAGGTAGATTCCAGGGGGTTAAAGCAAAAAGACATTAAAAACTAAATGGCAATAGAAATTGTCTTTCAAGTTGCCCATTATGTTTCTAAAGGCAGACACTGGTATCTGGGAGGGAAAAGGAAGGATGTCATATTTTATACTGACATGCTTGAACCTCTTCCAGGAACCAAAGGTTGGTATGCGGAGAGGGCATGGCTCTCTTTTCTTGCAGCGGAGTGGACACAGACAGACACAGGGCCCCTTTCAATCTTTTGGTCTGTTTGCAGCTTCAAATAAGAGTGCCAATTACTGCTCCCCATCTGGCATTTTGCTGACCATGCTTATCTTAGTAAAAAGCAAGGTTGTCTCTTGTTTGTTCTGCTTCTCTGAGGTAATACTGTTCACTGTTTGCTAAGCCTCTCGGCCTCTTGACCAAACTTTGGACTTCAGGCCTGTAAAAAGTTGCTGACAGAGCCTGTTTCAGGATTTTACATACACAGCTCATAGATTTTGGCCCTTCAAATAGATGCTGACATGTTGCTTTATTTACTTGTTTGGAAACATGGGTATTTAAAAAGAGCAACACACAACCTTCTGCACATCCGTTTCTTGTTACAGAAGACTGCTAACATCATACTGAGGCATGTGGAATTATTCAAAAATCAATTGCTCAGCAGCCATGAAAATGTCAGTTTCATGATCTTTATATGACAAACATAGGCTAAGTTTAATTGGCCTCAGCAGATGTTTGCATATTAGTGATGCTGCATTACTGTTATAAGACGAGACACATAAGAATAGTTCACTTTTTTCATCAACAATTAAACATTGTCAGATTACTGCTCTGTTAGAGCTGAGACAGTTCTAGTGGCTTTGCCAGTTATATTATTAGAAAGTGCCTTCCTCGTTACTGCTGTTGATGGGGGGGCGGGCGGAGAGAGAAATGAAGAATTTTGACATGTCACACTAGTCACTATTGCTACCACTAAGGAACAACAAGCAGGCAGAGCTCCATTTGCCTGGGAACCAATGAAGTATTTACACCTGAGCAAGTGGCAGACGTCAATTTAAAAGAAAATAAAAAAGCAGATCTCCAACCACTTTGACATACTGACTCAGAGTGACAGTTTCATATGACTTTCTCCAAGCAGTTGCCTCCTCTGCAACTTCTGATTCATTAGAGAGCTGAGGCCTTTTGAGCAGCGGCGTATTATCGCCTAGGCCGACTAGGACTAGGGCGGCAAATTTATAATAGCAGCATTTTTGTAATGGCAGCATCAGTGACGCCGCGATTCTACCAATCATTTTGCGTATTGAAACCACCAATGATGGCACGACGCCATCTAGTAAACATACTCGTGAGAATCCTAAACGTTAATAATATGACCGGAAGGAAGAAATGAAGCAGTTCTCAGTTTTGGATCCATGTGCGGTCCCGCGCTACAAGCGAAACTGCGCTATACAGACGCGCGTTCAAGCGAAGGTCGGCTGTACTTGTAATTTGATTTATAATAAAACTTGTAAATGTTCAATTATTTTAATGATATTTAGATTAATTTTAGTTCAAATGAATTTGTAAAAAAACTAAAACAAGTTCATATGGGGCCCGGGGCGGCAATTATTTCAGGGCCTCGGGCCAGCAAAATCATTAATCCGCCACTGCTTTTGAGACTCGTTTTCATGTAGGCAAGGTGCTTCTAATTTGCACACGATACAGCTGTTTTGCTGTCAATAATGTCATAAGCATTACTAAAAATATATTCCAACTGTGTACTCCAGTGTTCCCTCTCATTTTTTATGTCCATGTGCGGAATTAAATTTGTTATGTGCACCAATATGGAGGTGATGTGTGGCAGGGGAGGGGCCGAGGGGTTCGGAGTGTGGGAGGAGGCTTCAGGCTGGGGCAGGAGATTGGAGTGCAGGGGGGTTGAGGGCTCTGGCTGGGGGTGCAGGCTCTGGGGTGGGGCTGGGGATGAGGGGCTTGGGGTGCAGGCTGCCCTGGGGTTGTGGCGGGGAGAGAGGACTCTTCCCCAGCCCTCTCTTGCCGCAGCCGCTCAGGGCTGGGTGAGAGGCACCTCTCCCTGGTGGTGGCAGTTCCGGCGGCAGGGCTGGGCTGGCCCGGGGAGGAGCGCCTCTCCCCACCTGTGTGGCCCTTGATAGCCTGCTGCGCACCTGCGCAGCTTAGAGGGAATTTAGGTGTACTCTATTGCAACAGAGAAAACAAGCAATTACTGCAACTGACCTCTTGCTGGTGGTGGGTGGGAATAGGATACAGAGCTTTTTGGCAAAGTTGTGATCAATATATCTTAGGCCAAGTTTACACTACCAACTGACATCGGTATAATTACATTGCTCAGGGGTGTGAGAAGTCCACACCTCTGAGTGACACAATTATACCAATCAAATCCCCGATATAAACAGCGCTATGTTAATGGTCGACACGGGTATCGCCTTTCACAAAGGTGGATTAAGTGAGCTAACGGGAGAAGCTCTCCTGTCAGTGTAGTAGCGTCTTCACTGCACAGCTGCAGCCTTTTAAGTGTAGCCTAGGGATGTAAATAATGTGTAAAAACAGTAACCGTGTAACCAATTAAAATACTATTGGTTACACGGTTAAACATTTACCCTGGGAACTAGTGGCATGGGGGGTGCTACAGCACCCCCACGTTTTATGTGGGGTTCTGCTGCTACCCCTGCCCCTGGGGATTCCCGCTGCCGCTGCCTGCGCCAACATCCTGGCTGCCGGCCCCATGCCCGGGGCTCTGCTGGTGGCTGGCATCTTGGTGCCGGGGTCCCAGGTGCTGGGATGGTCCCCGGGTGCAGGGCTGACAGCCTGGAGGAACTCTGGGTGTGCTGGGATGCCAGGCAGCAGTAGGGTGGCAGCCGGGACCCTGAGCACGTGGCTGACAACCGGGATGGACCCTGGCAGCTGGGACAGACCCCAGCCAAGGGGCTGGCAGCCAGGAGGGACCCCGGCCATGGGACCAGGATTCGGGCAGCAGCAGAGCCCCAGCATGGTGTCACAGCTGGGATGCCAGGTGTGCAGGGATGCCAGGAGGCAGCAGAGCCCTGGGCATGGGGGCTGGGAGGGACCCCGAGCAAGCGGGGTGGCAGCCGGGATCCTGGGTGCGGGGTGGCAGCCAGGACCCTGGGTGGAGTTTAACTGTTAACAGAAACCGATAAATATCAAGCTTATCAGTTAAACTCTTACATCCCTAGTGTAGACTTGTCCTTAGTCTCAGCCAACAGGAGATGCTCAGAAATAGTTATTTATCTTACAATTTTATTCTGCCAACCATCACTGCCACATATTTGAGTGCCTTCCCCATAAAATCATTAGCAGCAGTGAAGTACCTAATGGACTTCCCAGTGTTTCTGGCCCTTTTGGGGTAAAAACTCTGCTTGGGGTATTTTGTTTTTGTTGGTTGTTCCTTTCGTATATCACCTGCTTTCTCAAAGACTAAGGGTGCTGGAGTAGCACAGGTGTAACAGTGGGTAGAATTTAACCCAATGGGCTTTAAACTATTGGCAAGTATTCTGGGGGGTGTAATTTAAGAGCCTACTCAAGCTCCCACTGTAGTCAAGAAGAGCTCTTTGTAGCTCAAAAGATTGGTTCTTTCACCAAGTGGGTCCAATAACACATATTCACCCATCTTGTCTCTCTCATATCCTGGGGCCAACATTCTTACCCACGAAAGCTTATGCTCCCAATACTTCTGTTAGTCCTAAAGGTGCCACAGGACCCTCTGTTGCTTTTTACATGACTACAACAATACTGCAAAAAACAATGGGAAGTTTGTCATTGACTTGAATGTGGGCAGGATTAGGCTTTTAAATATTTTCTTATTTTATACAACTCCAGCAACTTCTGAGCGTCTGTCTTGGAAGTTATTTGAAAATGTTTTCTTTTTTCCCCAAAAAGGTGAAGTATCTAATTATTTCTGGTCACACAAAGGTTTTTTGGGGACAGAAAAGGAAGATGAAATGGCAAGGGGTGTAAATGGGCATTATGAACTAGTTAATCGTATCCTTCTCATCCTCTGCCTTTCCTCACCCCACAAACAAGAGACTCCTTTTGGGGAGTTGGAAGGTTCACCTGGTAACAGTGACTTCTTCATAAATGACAATTTTTGTAGAGAATCCAAGAATCCAATGAACAAGAAGACTGGATTACTTTCTCACCCTCTGAGACTTTGTCTACACACATACATTGTTACACCTAGTGGCAGTGTAGCTTTGGCAATTCTAACAATGGTGGATGTGCTAGTGTAGACAAGTTAGAGTCTCTGAGGAGGATTAGATGACAGGAAACAGTGATAAAAATGCCAAAGGCTACTTCATCCCAGTGACAGAGCAATAATGGGAGAATTTCCTCAAATCCTTGGTGTAGATGAATCTCATTAGCACTGAATTCACTAAAAATGTACACAGATTCTTCTAATTCTCAGTGTAATGCATGCTTTCAGGACTCTAATAGGCAGAGCAAAGCAGGAAGTGATTGTGGAGAGAACCACTATCTTTGGTTTTGAGGGTTGTTCTGTTTTTAAAATAAGGTTGCTCTGGACTGTGTGGTTAATTTAGTCTGTTTCATCATTTGTTTTGGTAAGAAAAACTAAATTCAGGATTAAGGAGAATAATGACCAGATACATAAGCCACTTCAATGCTGCCCAAATGTTGGGCCAATAAACCTTAAACCAGCAATGAAATATTTTATTTGCATATGTAGCAAAGAAACTCTCTGTTCAGAGTCCAATTCTTCTCTATTCTAGTTAATGGGAGCAGTAGCAGTTCCTTAGGCCTTGGCTACACTTACCGGCAAGTTCGACGGCCGGAAATCGAACTTCTGGGTTCGACTTATCGCGTCTAGTCTGGACGCGATAAGTCGCACCCGGAAGTGCTCGCCGTCGACTGCGGTACTCCAGCTCGCCGAGAGGAGTACCGCGGAGTCGACGGGGGAGCCTGCCTGCCGAGTGTGGACCAAGGTAAGTTTGAACTAATTCGAAATAAGGTACTTCGAACTTCAGCTACGTTATTCACGTAGCTGAAGTTGCGTACCTTAGTTCGAATTAGGGGGGGTAGTGTAGACCAAGCCTTAGTCCCACATGGTGTTAAAAGACTGTGCAAAGAGAAAATAAAGTTAAAAAACCAACAGCGCCCCTAAATATCCCTCCCCATGCCAAAAACAAACAAAAACAAAAACAAAAACAAAAAACCCCACAACCAACTACACTCCAAGCAAACAGCAAGGCTATGGAAAGGACACGGTCCAGGAGTGGGCCTCAGAAGTAATGCCTAACTCACAGTGCCTACCTGCACCACGACACAAGTTTGCAAAGTTGTTTAAGGCGAAGAATGGTGTGGGGGAACCCCGCAAAAGTATAAAACGTGATTCTCTCTGACTGGGCCTGGGATGTATTTCGCTCCCTGCCCTAAGGGGCTGCTGCTGGAGGGAGATGTGGGAAATTTCAGAAGATTTCCTCTCCGGAAAAGAAACTCACCCAAAGCCTGGTGTGCAAGAACAGACATCAGTGGCACTGCAGGCTGCCGGCCTGGCAGGGGAAATAGCTGAGAGGAACGGGCCGCTGCAGGGCACAGCGAGCTGCCCAGGGGAGCGGGGCCACTAGCGGGATCTAGGTCCCGGCAGATTCCGCAGTGGAGCCGGAACTATGTCACAGCGGGCTCGCTGCTCTGCACCACGCTAGGCCCCGCACGGCACGGGAGCTTAGCCAGGGGCGCTACAGCGGGGTGCAGAGCTGCCAGGTGCCCGACACCCCGCGGCTAAAGGGGACAGCCGAGCACCGCGCTGCACCAGCCCCCTTGCACCGCCCCGCAGCCGAGTACCGCGCTGCACCAGCCCCCTTGCACCGCCTCGCAGCCGAGCACCGTGGTGCAGCAGCACCCTTGCACCGCCCCGCAGCCGAGCACCGCGCTGCACCAGCCCCCTTGCACCGCCTCGCAGCCGAGCACCGTGGTGCAGCAGCACCCTTGCAGCGCCCCCCAGTGCACCTGCCCGCCTTGCAGCGCCCCACAGCCAGGCACCGCGCTGCAAAGTCCCCCCTTGTAGCGCCCCGCAGCCGTGCACCGGGGGGAACCGACACTGCTGCACTGAGCCCATTGTTTGGCTCAGCCACCAGGCGCTGCTGCGCTCCCCCCAGCACAGGGCCGGGCCCGCCTCTGCACCTCGCCTCCTCCCCCCCAGCAGTGTCCGCGCGGCGGCTCGGAGCAGGAGGCTGACGCCTCACGCCGCTCCCCGCCCCCGGGTGCACCATTGATAAACCGTTCGGAAAGACATGGTGTCAGGGCTCCAGTGGCGCAATCGGTTAGCGCGCGGTACTTATACAGCAGTACACAGCAGAGCAATGCCGAGGTTGTGAGTTCGAGCCTCACCTGGAGCACATGTTCTTTTGGGACACGCACCGCACATTTTTCGTGTTTGGTGTTAAAGAGTGTTTGCAGCTTTCGACTACTGCTTGCACTAGGAATCACAGCTGAGCCAGGCCACGGCTAAATTGTGCAGCCATTTTCTGTGTGTGTAACACGGCATAATAGCATTAATCTGTATACTGCATTATATAATAAACAAGTATAAACACACGGCATGATAAAACTGCCTTTCTCTCTGTATATATTTATATATATACAATGTTATGTGTGTATCTATAGAGATACACACACTTTTCTATGTATTATATGTATGTGTATACATATATATACAAGCAGGTGATTTTTGTATGTGTCTGTGAATATTTCATGTATTCTTCTGCCTTTATTGATACATCCAAACTAGTTTTTGGAATGATGTAATTCATACATTTTCCTGGGAACAGATGCATATATGATCTTTGTGGGAAACCATTTTTTAAAAACATTCATATGATTTAATGTATATATTATGATATATGTAAAATATGGATTATTGTTTAATTTATAGTATAAAGATGAGTTCATGCAAACTAGTTCTCTGAGGCTGCAAACTGATAAATTGTCTTTTTCCTCATTTTGAATTAGATGTATATTGTGTAGCCTGACAATACAATAATTGGCTTTTAAAGTCTGGGCTATTAGGGTTGCCAGGCGTCCGGTTTTTGACCGGCATGTCCAGTTGAAAAGGGACCCTGGCGGCTCCGGTCAGCACTGCCAATCAGGCCGTCAAAAGTCCAGTTGACGGTGCTGCAGGTCTAAGGCAGGCTAGTCCCTACCTGTCTTGGCACAGCACTGTGCCCCGGAAGTGACCTGCAGCTCTGGGTCTTAGGTAGGGGGGCCATGGGGCTTCACGTGCTGCCTGCACCCTGAGCACTGGTTCCGCACTCCCATTGGGCTGGGAACTGCGGCCAATGGGAGCTGGAGGGGGGGCAGTTTCTGTGGGCAAGAGTAGCGCGCGGAGCCTCCTGGCCCCCCGCCTAGGAGCCAGAGCAGCTGGCCGCTTCCGGGGCGCAGCGCAGAGCCAGGACAGGCAGGGTGCCCGCCTTAGCTCCACTGCGCCGCTGACTGGGAGCCACCCAAGGTACGCCCATGCCCCTGCTCCGAGCCCCCCCAACCTGGAGCCCTCTCCTGCACCCCAAACCCCTCATCCCCAGCCCCACCTCAGCTCCCGCACGCCCAGCCCAGAGCCCACACCCCCACCTCCTGCCGCCCTCTCCCGCACTCTGAATCCCTCGGCCCCACCCCCCAGCCTGGAGCCCCCTCCTCCAGCCAAACCTCTCATCCTGAGCCCCACCTGAGAGCCCGCACCCCCAGCTGGAGCCCTCACCCCTTCCCTCACCCCAACCCCCTGCCTCAATCCGCAGCCCCCTGCCACATTCCAAATGTAGTGACTTCAGAGTTCTGTGTTGTTAGTGCCATGTCAAAAAGGGAAATAGCAAAATGCTTGATAAAGATTGATATGGTGGTGACTGGATTATTGATGCTTACATAATATAATGAACAAATAAAAATAATACATGAATAGCTCTTTGTTTGCATGCAGTGTCACCTTATATTTCTTCATGCACTAGCCCAGTGCCACAATAGTAGAGTTTAAACCGAAACTTAAAAAAAAATTGAAAACATAAAAATCATTCATAAAAATTATTGCTTGCATTGAAGTCAATGTCAAAACCCCTGTTGGCATCAATGGGAAGAAGATAAGATCCTAGGTTTGGGATTAAACTAGTTTACAATAACCTTTTATAAAATGTCCTTATCATTTCCCTGTTCGATGCTACGAGATGGGGCAAATTGAGCTGGATGTTCCCAGAGTTTGAAGGTTTCATCTATGGGATTTTGGTCTGATCTACTAGAGACTGGGGACAGCTATGAAATTCTCATCTGATTCTGAACTTACCCAAAATATAGGGATGTTTGGATCCACGCTTTTTGATTCAGACCTTTCGCTGATTATCATCTTTTCTATCATGCACACGTCCGCTGCACAACAGAATACAGGGTAGAAAGGACTTCCTTCTATAATAGTGTATACTTTGCACAGGTGTCTAGCTGAACTTCCTCTTTGTTCTAATGAGCACTTGGTTTTCTAATCTGAATTTAAAATGGCAAGGGAAAAAAAGGAATTATAGGGTGGATTTAGAATTAGTTAGCTGTGCGCAGCTTCATTTTCGCTCCCTGCCCTGCTCCCCTCGGGACCCAGCCAAGGAAAAGAACATTCTGTTATCTCCCCCCCCCCGTTTTTCATTCTTTTTTTCTTCATCTACCTCCTATATTATAAGTAATAGGAAGTAAATGAAAATAAAGTGAGGTACTTTGATTGGGGCAGGAGGTAGGAGTGCAGGAGAGCGTGTGGGGGTTGGGCTCTGGGAAGAAGTTAGGGTGCGGGATGCGGACTCTGGGCTGGGGCAGGGAGTTGGGTGCGGGAAGGGTCAGGGGGGCAGCGCTTACCTTGGGTGGCACAGCTCCCAAAGCGACTGGCATACCTCTCCGTCAGCGGGTCCTAGGTGGGAGGGGGGTAGGGAGTCTCTGTGCACCACTCCCACAGGTGCCGCCCCTGCAATTCCCTTTGGCCGCAATTCCCAGCCAATGGGAGCTGCGGAGTCGGCAAGGTGTGGAGACACTCCCCTCCAGGGGCCACAGGGACATGCTGGCCACTTCTGGAAGCAGCATGGAGGGAGGGATTCAGCATGGCAGGGAGCTGCCTTAGCCCTGCTGTGCTGCTGCTGGTATGTCTGTGCACGCCCCTTGGAGGAGGGGTCCAGCGGGTCTCCCTGCAAAGACATGCCAGAAGCTGGCCGCTTCCGGAAGCGGCGTGGGGCCACCAGCCACGGAATGCAGGCAGCCAGCCTGCCTGAGCCCTGCTGCGCCGCCAGCCGGGACTCAGGGGCAGGTTGTCAAATGAGATTTGTCTTGCATTTTGGCGGCCCCCCTACAGAGGTGAAAGTAAGCCAGTATGATCAGGTACGGCGTACCGGTAAGAGCCAGTACAGCATGCCGGACCACACTGGCTTCTGCGGCGGGGATTTAAAGGGCTCTGGGCTCCCCGCCACTGCCCTTTACAGAGCCCTTTACATCCCGCCCGCAGCTCTGGCGGTCGGGCTGGGGCTGGGATTTAAAGGGCTAAGAGCTCCCTGCAGCGGCAGGAGCTCTGGGTCCTTTAAATCCTGGCCCCAGCCCGGCAATGCTCAGGGCTCCCTGCAGCCGCGGGAGCTCTGGGCTCTTTAAATCCTGGCCCCAGCCCAGCAGCCAGGCTCGGGCAGGGATTCAAAAGGCCCGGAGCTCCTGTGGCTGCAGGGAGCCCCAAGCCCTTTAAATCCCCCCGCAGCTCTGGCAGCTGGGCTGGGGCCGGGATTGAAAGGTCTCAGAGCTCCCCACTGCAGTGGGGAGCCCAGAGCCCTTTGAATTCCGCCTGCAGTTCTGGCAGCCAGGCTGGGGCCGGGATTTAAAGGGCTTGGAGCTCTGCAGTGGCTGGAGCCCCGTGCCCTTTAATTTGTCCCTGAGCCCCGGGGGCTCCCAGCCACCTTTGCAGCTGGGAGCCCCAGGTTGATTTAAAGGCCCTGGGGCTCCCAGCCACAGCCGGTGCCCCAGGGCCTTTAAATCTTGAGGGGCCCCGCCTCTTCCAGATGAGGCCATGCCCCCCTCAGGACTCCGGCAGTACCGGTAAGTCCTGTAAGTTACTTTCATCCCTGGCCCCCTGTCATTGGGGGCCCTGTGCCACCGCACTGTTTGTTTCATGGTAAATCCACCTCTGGGGTATGTCTATACTTATAGCGTGCAGCGGCCCCATACAGATGCACTGCTTCAGCGCATCTGGTGAAGATGCTCTATGCTGATGGGAGAGAGCTCACAAAAAACCCACCTCTGCAAGTGGCATAAGCTATGTTGGTGGGAGAAGCTCTCCCACCGACATAGCGCTGTGTGCACAAACGCTTATGTGGAATATTCACACCCCTGAGTGACATACGTTTTGCTGACATAGGCTGCAATGTAGACAAAGGCTAAATCTGTTTCTGAGATGCTGAAATTATCTTTGTTTTGCATTTGAACAAGGCTACTCAGCATTGTTGCATCATGTCATTCTTGTGGCAGAGCTGACTTTATGGATGAAACCTAAGGCCCCGATCTTGCAAACACTTATGCAGGTGTCAACATAGTGGTAGGACTACTCATGGTAAGGAAATTAAGCACATGCATGCAGATTTGCAGGATAGGGGGATTTATAATGGAAATAACGCTAAATCATAGCAACGATTGGTGATGCAATAGGACATTAATCCACATTAATGTATAAATGTCTACTCACTAAATAAAGTGAATGAAATTACTACAGATTTAATTAATAATTTGAATAGATTTGTGACTATATTCTGTTGTGAGCAGGGCTGTTTAAAACCCTGCCTGG